CTGGCAAAACTGCAGTTGTTTCGCCAACTCGCTGACCACCAAAGTCACAAGGGGAAAGACTGCAGGGCCATATCAAAACTGCTTGGTAGTTGACCAACCCCTCTGAAAAATGGGCCATTTTCAATACATTATATAGCTGGTTGCTGGTTGAGCCAACGCATGTCACCTTTTTTGTGATGAGTTTGGGCAAATGCTCTTTGGCATTAGCCTTTTAGAAATAAGTCATGCGCCCCTGTAGTTTTTGGACTCAAACAGACTGCAAACATCAGAACCGAAGTGGCACCAGTCATTGTGTATGCCTGCCCACATGACCTTCTGCACAACATGCACATCCAAGGAAAGCAACATCGATCAATCGTGGTGAAGAGATGTTGCAGCCAATGGCAACCAACGCCTCCTTTCGAAGCATTGCCAGCTGGCTTTCTGACAACATCGCGTCAGTTTCCTGCAACAGCTTCCTTTGCCATGCCAGTTTCTGACTTCAGGCAAAAGAACGCACTCTTTGATTTGCCCAACTACTTTCCAAGCCCGTGACGCTCGATCCCTGCGTTCTCCTGTACAAAGTGCCAGTAGCACGGCTGTGAAGCACTCCAGGCACAGATTCCAATGTTTCGAATGATTCCAAAAATCATGTGCGCAAAACAGGGGGCAAAACAGTCGGAGTGAAGGATCAAAATCTGCCTCCATTCTCATCGTAGTTGGAAGCATCAACCACGTGCGCTCAACATTGCAAGCGAGACACTGCTGCCACTTTTTCGGACCAATCTCAGGACTGACTAATGACTCATCTCATTTGTCTCTGTTTTTCGCTTCCAAGTCAGTTCCCATGAACGCAACATCCCTACCCCTATAGAGGGGGAGGGCGGGGGGGGGGGACAAAACCAACCTGTCGAATTCCACTTTTTTTTGCTTGGAACCCCTGGGATAGTGATCCAACCCCTCGAATGGAATTGTAAAGTAACATTTATTCCCTCATCAAATTTCCGGTGAGACGTTGTGACCCCTGGTCTGTATGTTATAAAAAAGATTCACAAGCTTGGGGCTATAGAATGAGGTTGCTGAGCTCCATTTTTCCCCAACATAGCCTTAGCTACAAAATGCCCCTTCGTTTCAACACCTTGACATAGGGGGAGGTTTTCCCTTGTTACAAAATGCCCCTTCGTTTTCAACAACTGTATAATACAAGGATATACCCTTTGATAAGCCAGCATGAAGTTCATCATGTCATGCTACAAAATGCCACTGCGATTATCATGATGGGCTAACATGACTAAAATGACTCCTTTATAAAATGAGATTCACAAGTTTAAGCTACAAAATCTTGGACCCGGATTTCATCTCAGGGTTAGCCTGACTAAAATGGAAGCCTCTGTATAGTGCTTGTGGCCACAAACTTTGTAGCTTAAATTTGGGCACTGGTTTGAAAATACTTGCGCTTAGCTCCGGAGGAGCTAAGCGCAAGTATGATCACGGCAGCGCAAATTTTTGGAGGGATGCCATCCCTACACATGTGCTGCTTCAGTCTGACATGTGCTTAGCTCCTCCGGAGCTACGCGCAAGTATTTAATTTTCACCTGCTTGCCACTGACATGGAATGATGAGGAATATTAATCATTGAGAAAACATGATTGCAAAAATAGAATTTTAAAATGAAATTTCAGTACGACTCCCCCCCCCTCCAATTCCATTTTTAAGAGGGTAGGGATAACGCAACTGTAAAAACAATACCGTTGAAAACCTCCGGAAATCTGCAGCCATGGACTGATCAGGGGTCATGCGACCTTCCAATCTAATATCTCTCTGATGCTTGCCAAAAATCATGTGCGCAAAACAGGGGGCAAAACAGTCGGAGTGAAGGATAAAAATCTGCCTCCATTCTCATCATTGTCGGAAGCATCAACCACGTGCGCTCAAAATTGCAAGTGAGACACTGCTGCCACTGGTTTCGGGTTTCGGACTAATCTCAGGACTGACTCATATCGTTAAGTACATTATATAGTTATACTATGTTATATTGGTATATCAACTACTCTTCCACCGGCACAATTTCTACCAGGCTTCAAGATGTGGAAAGTGCATTAACTAGTCGGGTCAAACTCAACAAGCACATTTCTCAGGCTCAAGGAATCCATTGCAACACTTTGATATGTTTGTATTGGACGAGGTTTCATCACTTCAGCCAAGAGAAAATGTTGGCGGGATAGACAATCGCCCGTTATGTATTGTTGCGCTATTGGGGAAATAGTCGAATTCATCATTGCACCTGTTACTCCACATTTTTGGGGGGGTTGCACAACATTCGCTGCCTTGCCTCCGCTGCTGAAGCTGTCTCAAGCATGGACACAATGACCACTTGCCATGCCAGCTTTTGCCTTCAGTAAAGACAGACTTTGGCCAAATTCTCTGGCATGCTTGACTTGGGCTCTCATGAGATACACCCAAGTACTTTCCAAACATATGAGGCTCGACCCCTTTGCTTCTGCTACACCAAGTGCCAACTGCAGGGCTGCTGATGCACTAGCAGTGGGGTTGTCAACATTTCTCTGTCTTTCTCCACTTCCAAGTCAGGTCACATGCAGGCTGCATCGAGGCGTCCATCTGCATCTTTTATCCACCTAGTGTCTTACAGATTCTTTGACGCCGCTCTGCACACCATCAAGCTCTGAGATACGTGTTGACTGGATAGATTTCCGGTGAAAACGAGATTGATGTCCGATGATATGGACTCTACCTGTTGGTCTACTTACTGTTGTGTATGCCTGCCCACATGACCTTCTGCACAACATGCACATCCAAGGAAAGCAACATCGATGAATCGTGGTGAAGAAGAGATGTTGTAGCCAATGGCGACCAACGCCTCCTTTCGAAGCATTGCCAGCTGGCTTTCTGACAACATTGCGTCAGTTTCCCGCAACAGCTTCCTTTGCCATGCCAGTGTCTGACTTCAGGTAAAACAACGCGCTCTTTGATTTGCCCAACTACTTTCCAAGCCAGTGAGGCTCGATCCCTGCGTTCTCCTGTACAAAGTGCCAGTTGAACGGCTGTTGAAGCACTCCAGGCACAGTTTTCGGTTGTTTGAAAGCGTCCTGCACGCTCTCCAGTCACTGTGTATGCCTGCCCACATGACCTTTGCACAACATGCACATCCAAGGAAAGCAACATCGATCAATCGTGGTGAAGAGATGTTGCAGCCAATGGCAACCAACGCCTCCTTTCGAAGCATTGCCAGCTGGCTTTCTGACAACATCGCGTCAGTTTCCCGCAACAGCTTCCTTTGCCATGCCAGTTTCTGACTTCAGGTAAAACAACGCGCTCTTTGATTTGCCCAACTACTTTCCAAGCCCGTGAGGCTCGATCCCTGCGTTCTCCTGTACAAAGTGCCAGTTACATGGCTGTTGAAGCATTCCAGGCACAGATTCCAATGTTTCCAATGTTTCCAAGTCAAGCTTGCTGGAACCAATTTCCAAGCATCAATCTACCTGCTTTCTTGCGTTTTTTTGAAAGCGTCCTGCACGCTCTCCAGTCTCTGTGTATGCCTGCCCACATGACCTTCTGCACAACATGCACATCCAAGGAAAGCAACATCGATCAATCGTGGTGAAGAAGAGATGTTGCAGCCAATGGCAACCAACGCCTCCTTTCGAAGCATTGCCAGCTGGCTTTCTGACAACATCGCGTCAGTTTCCCGCAACAGCTTCCTTTGCCATGCCAGTTTCTGACTTCAGGTAAAACAACGCGCTCTTTGATTTGCCCAACTACTTTCCAAGCCCGTGACGCTCGATCCCTGCGTTCTCCTGTGCAAAGTGCCAGTTACTATACACGGCTGCTGAAGCACTCACGGCATGATTTTCCGCAATGTATCTTGCTTTGACCTGAACGAAGACACTTTTCTAGGCGCATGGAATTCTGTTTCCTTTCAAGGTCTAAATCTTCTCAACTTAGTCAAACAATATTTTTGCCAGCGATAAACATTGATAGACTCGGGGAAAACCCGTGCCCAAAATAGATGGTAAGCATGGTGTTCAATGCTTGTCTGTGTCAATCTATGATCGGTCGTGCGTTGGGGGGGCCTGGCTGCAATAGACAAATCCTGAATCTTGCAGCCTTGCCAATTGACTTCGGCAGTCGAGGTTCTCAGGGCTCTACCGGACACGTTTGAGACCCTGAGTCAACTGAGAGTTTCAAGGCGAGGACTCACTAACTTGAGACAGTGACTCTGTGAGTCTTTGGGCCTTCGCTTCGCCACTTCACCTTCGGTTTCAAGAATCCGAATCTAAGGACAGCCGGCGGATCAGTTTCTCAGCAACCAGACTTGCAGCGGTTAATCCAAAGCGATCAAGCGATCAACGGATGCGGCGGCACACATCGGGCCTCGCGCCGCGGGGTCAAGGCCGCTGGGATGGGTCGAGTTGTGAATCTGCTGGCCCAAAACAAATTCAACAAATCATAGCAATTCATCGCAAGTACACATGAAATCACATGAATACTTAAATGATCGTTTGGTGGAAAATGTGGAAACCGGGAAAGAAAACACAAAAACAGCGAGCCTGTTACTCAAGGCAACACGAAAGAATCCCAAACAGGTACCCACTCCCTGTCCTCCATAGTGCCATATAATGCCATATAGTTCTAGTTCCACCACCCATGGCGTGCTTGGTGCAACACGGAAACTACTTCCTAGAAAGCTGAAAAATCTCATGAAGTTGTTGGTTCCAACGAGAAACCTACATATCTAATGCTCCATAGGAACAGGTTTGTACTTTCGTGGTTCTTCGCTGATTTGTTCTTATTGTTCAGGAGCCAAGAGACAACATCCGCTGAGTTTTTCAAGAGCATTTTCCCCCTGCTGTTCAATGTTCAACGCTGCAACCCTGATTTGCTTTGAAAAATATGGTCTTTCAATGTGAATTTTATCTATATCCCGGCTGCGTGGAGCTGCTCATTTTCTCACGAAGCGATGCTGACGTAAACGGCCAGGCCTCAGCAAACCATGGATGAGA